TTCTATTCAGTCAGTCAGGAATAAGAACTTCACCAATCCTTCTATTCAGTCAGTCAGTCAGAATAAGAACTTCACCAATCCTTCTATTCAGTCAGTCAGTCAGATAAGAACTTCACAGAGAACTTCACCAATCCTTTCTATTCAGTCAGTCAGGATAAGAACTTCAACAATCCTCATTCAGTCAGTCAGTCAGAATAAGAACTTCACCAATCCTTCTATTCAGTCCAGTCAGAATAAGAACTTCACCAATCCTTCTATCAGTCAGTAGGATAAGAACTTCAACAATCCTTTATTCAGTCGCTCAGAAAGAACTTCACCAATCCTTTTCCTATTCAGTCAGTCAGCAATAAAGGAACTTCACCAATCCTTCTTTCAGTAAGTCAGGATAAGACTGCACCAATCCATTCAGTCGTCAGTTAAGGATAAGAACTTAACCAATCATTCTATTCAGTCAGTCAGTCAGGATAAGAACTTCCCCAATCCTTCCCATTTAGTCGTCAGTAAGAATAAGAACTTCACAATCCTTCTATTCAGTCAGTCGTCAGGTAAGAAACTTCACCAATCCTTCTCTTCAGTCAGTCAGTCAGAATAAGAACTTCACCAATCCTTATTCAGTCAGTCAGTCAGGATAAGAACTTCACCAATCCTTCTATTCAGTCAGTCAGTCAGAATAAGAACTTCACCAATCCTTCTATTCAGTCAGTCAGAATAAGAACTTCACCAATCCTTCTATTCAGTCAGTCAGTCAGGATAAGAACTTCACCAATCCTTCTATTCAGTCAGTCAGTCAGGATAAGAACTTCACCAATCCTTCTATTCAGTCAGTCAGTCAGGATAAGAACTTCACCAATCCCATTCAGTCAGTCAGTCAGAATAAGAACTTCACCAATCCTTCTATTCAGTCAGTCAGTCAGGATAAGAACTTCACCAATCCTTCTATTCAGTCAGTCAGTCAGGATAAGAACTTCACCAATCCTTCTATTCAGTCAGTCAGTCAGGATAAGAACTTCACCAATCCTTCGTCAGTCAGAGAATAAGAACTTCACCAATCTTCTATTCAGTCAGTCAGTCAGAATAAGAACTTCACCAATCCTTCTATTCAGTCAGTCAGTCAGGATAAGAACTTCACCAATCCTTCTATTCAGTCAGTCAGGATAAGAACTTCACCAATCCTTCTATTCAGTCAGTCAGAATAAGAACTTCACCAATCCTTCTATTCAGTCAGTCAGTCAGGATAAGAACTTCACCAATCCTTCATGTCTATAAAGGAGTTACAGGGAAGCCCATATCATCTGTATACTGTGTCTGTACTTTGTCTTAATACCACAGCCATGTTCCACTGTCATTGTGTGATTTTTATATTTTTGTATATAAAGACGAAACATCTGGTGCTTTGAAACCCTAGCCTGGTTAAACCGGACTGAATGCTGCGCTGACTTGGTGAAACAGAGCATATCAGTCAGGATTCCAGGCTATTGAACACCCACATTGTAGCCAAGCTACACAAGGACATGTGGAGCTGTGAACAGTAAACAATAAAGTCTTTAGCTTTTTTAAACCTGACTGTTATTTGTAATGATTTTATTTAATTTGATACCATTTCCTTTCTCTTTGTAGACTTCCTGTTTGTACTTTTACATGGTCTGGTTGAGAAAGTGACAATTTTTTTGTAGCCCAAATATACCAACAACATTAACGTTGTTCTTGTTCAACTCTCTTGTTCAACAGTGTTGTAACTCAGTATACTCGGTCAGTCTTTGGAAAGGTTGTTTGCATTCGTTAACAGTGGTCATTTTAAAAAAAGGCAAATGAAGTGGTCAAATAAGTTTTTTTTTTACTGTTTCTGTGTCCAATGGAAATATGATTTGTGTCCTGAAAGCTGCATGGTAGGCTAATGTAAGCATGTCCTGAATAAAGTTCCAGGGGAAAAGTGTCATTGGTTTATATTTGTTATTTGTAATGACAATGTCATAACATGTCTTATATAGATCCAATAAGACTCAAGTCAGTCTCTTACATGTCTGTCTGTTGTCTGTACATAGTTTAAGTGGTTGTCTGTTTGACTCATCTGAGTGTGTGTGTGTGTGTGTGTGTCTGTGTGTGCCTGTGTGCATGCATGTGTGTGTGTGTGTGTGTGAAAGGTTAAGAACACGTCTGCGTGCCAACGAGCCATCTACTCTGGAGGGCTGGAGGATTCAGTTCCCTCTGGAAGGAGTCATGTGATTTGGGAGCTCTGATCTGCCACACACACACACACACCACACACACACAACACACACACACACCACACACACAACACACACCACACACACACACACACCACACACACACACCACACACACACACACACACAACACACCACACACACACACAACACACACACACCACACACAAACACACACACCACACACACACACACACACACACACACACACACACACACACACCACACACACACACACACACACACACACACACACACACACACACACACACACCCAAGACAGACAGACAGAAACAGGTGATAATGTGTGGTGTAGCAGCTGGGGTATGGCACATGTGATCTGATAGTTACCCACGCTGCCTCACTCTGCTCTGAAAACCACTGACACACAGCCACAACAGATCCACTGACGCACAACCACAACAGATCCACTGACGCACAGCCACAACAGATCCACTGACGCACAGCCACAACAGATCCACTGACGCACAGCCACAACAGATCCACTGACGCACAGCCACAACAGATCCACTGACACACAGCCACAACAGATCCAATTCCTTTATATGTCTTATGTTCATATGGGCAAACTATGGACATGTGAACAGCCTAATAATCACTTTGTCAATCAAAAAATAGGTTTTAAAACAGTTGTATGTTTCATGTTAACATTGTTACATTACTTTAGGACTGCCAAAACTGCAATCATTTTTGTGCAAAATTTCTCCTGAAAGCAAAGAAAACAAGCAATACCTTCTATGTAAACAGCATATCAAAAGTTTAAAAAGCCTTTTATACTGTACCCTATCATAGAAGCCCTATAATTCATCACATTGCAGCAGTTACATTAAATTAGTGCAAATCTATGGAGGTCATACAAACCCTGCATTCATAAACTCTGTGATATAAAGACTAAAATGTCCTATATAGCGTGCATGTTTACGTTGCTGCACAAGTCAGTAATGATCTATTTAGATTGGAACCCAGAGAGGGAGAGAGAGCAGTCTCTCTATACATACAGTGGGGGAAAAAAGTATTTAGTCAGCCACCAATTGTGCAAGTTTTCCCACTTAAAAAGATGAGAGAGGCCTGTAATTTTTTATCATAGGTACACGTCAACTATGACAGACAAAATGAGAACAAAAAAATCCAGAAAATCACATTGTAGGATTTTTTTATGAATTTATTTGCAAATTATGGTGGAAAATAAGTATTTGGTCAATAACAAAAGTTTCTCAATACTTTGTTATATACCCTTTGTTGGCAATGACACAGGTCAAACGTTTTCTGTAAGTCTTCACAAGGTTTTCACACACTGTTGCTGGTATTTTGGCCCATTCCTCCATGCAGATCTCCTCTAGAGCAGTGATGTTTTGGGGCTGTCGCTGGGCAACACGGATTTTCAACTCCCTCCAAATATTTTCTATGGGGTTGAGATCTGGAGACTGGCTAGGCCACTCCAGGACCTTGAAATGCTTCTTACGAAGCCACTCCTTCGTTGCCTGGGCGGTGTGTTTGGGATCATTGTCATGCTGAAAGACCCAGCCACGTTTCATCTTCAATGCCCTTGCTGATGGAAGGAGGTTTTCACTCAAAATCTCACGATACATGGCCCCATTCATTCTTTCCTTTACACGGATCAGTCGTCCTGGTCCCTTTGCAGAAAAACAGCCCCAAAGCATGATGTTTCCACCCCCATGCTTCACAGTAGGTATGGTGTTCTTTGGATGCAACTCAGCATTCTTTGTCCTCCAAACATGACAAGTTGAGTTTTTACCAAAAAGTTCTATTTTGGTTTCATCTGACCATATGACATTCTCCCAATCCTCTTCTGGATCATCCAAATGCACTCTAGCAAACTTCAGACGGGCCTGGACATGTACTGGCTTAAGCAGGGGGACACGTCTGGCACTGCAGGATTTGAGTCCCTGGCGGCGTAGTGTGTTACTGATGGTAGGCTTTGTTACTTTGGTCCCAGCTCTCTGCAGGTCATTCACTAGGTCCCCCCGTGTGGTTCTGGGATTTTTGCTCACCGTTCTTGTGATCATTTTGACCCCACGGGGTGAGATCTTGCGTGGAGCCCCAGATCGAGGGAGATTATCAGTGGTCTTGTATGTCTTCCATTTCCTAATAATTGCTCCCACAGTTGATTTCTTCAAACCAAGCTGCTTACCTATTGCAGATTCAGTCTTCCCAGCCTGGTGCAGGTCTACAATTTTGTTTCTGGTGTCCTTTGACAGCTCTTTGGTCTTGGCCATAGTGGAGTTTGGAGTGTGACTGTTTGAGGTTGTGGACAGGTGTCTTTTATACTGATAACAAGTTCAAACAGGTGCCATTAATACAGGTAATGAGTGGAGGACAGAGGAGCCTCTTAAAGAAGAAGTTACAGGTCTGTGAGAGCCAGAAATCTTGCTTGTTTGTAGGTGACCAAATACTTATTTTCCACCATCATTTGCAAATAAATTCATAAAAAATCCTACAATGTGATTTTCTGGAGAAAAAAAATCTCAATTTGTCTGTCATAGTTGACGTGTACCTATGATGAAAATTACAGGCCTCTCTCATCTTTTTAAGTGGGAGAACTTGCACAATTGGTGGCTGACTAAATAAAAAATGTCCCCACTGTATAGCTGCATAAAAAATATACTTTTTAGAAATGCCTTTGCAGCAGCATAGGTGCAGCCACTTTGAAGCAAATGTTTTTACCTGTTCTGTAGCAACGGCTTTTTAATGCCCCTAACTATAGGTTTACCAAATCAGCTCTTAATGAAGGAGGCTAGTCTGATGTAACTGACACCTTCCCGGCTGAGATCCTCAGAGGATGTCTCTTGCAGGTGTTGGAGAAGTAAGGGAACACTCTCTGGGTGAACTTGTGTTTGAACCTGTAGATGAGCGTGTTGTCTGAGGCGTCGGAGAAGGTGACCCTGCCTCTGTCCCAGTCCAGCTGCACTCTGACCTCCTGGGGCCTTCTCTTCAGGACCAGGGGGGGGTGGCGGTGGCTGTGCGGGCGTGATATTCACCTCCATAGTAACAGATGGTCCACAGGCCCCTCTCTAGAATAGAATAGAATGGAATAGATACTTTATTGTCCATTTGAGAAAATATGTATTTGTGCCTAACTCAACCGCCACACATACACACGTTCACATTGATTGGCACAGGGTCAGCCACGGAGCAGCGCCACCTGGATGGAGAGCTGGTTTTTTTTGTTTAAGTAATGTGTCTTGCTCAATGGCACAATGGCAGGAGATGGTACCTGGGCTCGGGGGGAACCACTCCTTCCTCGGGACCGTCTCCCGTGCCACGCCCACAGCCCACTCGCTGTTCACCCCCACCACCACGTCCCAGGTGTGTCGTCCGGAGATGAAGCCCTCGGAACCCAGAACACACTCATAGTAACAGAACCTCTCTGGGTTGTCAGGGAGACGCTCCTCCTCCTCTGTGTACCGCAGGCTGGTCAGATCATCAGACAGAGACAGGCAGATATCAGCTGTGTTGGGGTCCAGAGTCACAGGAGCTGGAAGTGAGGGAGGGAGGGAAAGCAAGAGAGATCAAGAGAGAGCGATAGAGAGATTGATTGAGAGAGAGAGAGCGAGAGCGAGAGCGAGAGCGAGAGAGAATTATTGATTACATATACATTTACATTTTAGTCATTTAGCAGACACTCTTATCCAGAGCGACTTACAGTTAGTGAATGCATACATTTTCATGACTGAGAGAGAGTACATTGAGTTAATCATTCCTACAGTACTCAAAACACATTATTTGCACATCTATTGTGATCTTATGGTCTTCCTCTACTCACTGTATGTAATGATGTCCTGCATCTTCTCCCAGACTCTGTAGTTGAGACAGCCCAGGTGTTTGGCCACGTCCAGCAGAGCTCCTGACACCTCCTCCGGCTCCTGCACTGTCACCCGAGTCCTGTCAGAAGAAGGTTCACTTGTCAACAGGTTTACAAGATATATACTGTAATCTCTTGTGACAGGCAGACAGACAGAGGTAGCCCATGCGAGATGTGGTTATAGGTGAGATGTGTTTATAGGTGAGATGTGGTTATAGGTGAGATGTGGTTATAGGTGAGATGTGGTTATAGGGGAGATGTGGTTATAGGGGAGATGTGGTTATAGGTGAGATGTGGTTATAGGTGAGATGTGGTTCTAGGTGAGATGTGGTTCTAGGTGAGATGTGGTTATAGGGGAGATGTGTTTATAGGTGAGATGTGTTTATTGATGAGATGTGGTTATAGGTGAGATGTGGTTATAGGTGGATGTGTGGTTCTAGGTGATTGTATGTGGATGTGGTTATAGGTGAGATTGTGGTTATAGGTGATGATGTTGGTTATAGGTGAGATGTGGTTATGGTGATGAGGATGTGGTTAAGGTGAGATGTGTTTATAGTGAGATGTGTAGGGAGATGTGGTTATAGGGGAGATGTGGTTATAGGTGAGATGTGGTTATAGGTGAGATGTGGTTATAGGGGAGATGTGGTTATAGGTGAGATGTGGTTATAGGTGAGATGTGGTTATGGGGAGATGTGTTTATAGGGGAGATGTGGTTATAGGTGAGATGTGTTTATAGGTGAGATGTGGTTATAGGTGAGATGTGTTTATAGGTGAGATGTGGTTATAGGTGAGATGTGTTTATAGGTGAGATGTGGTTATAGGTGAGATGTGGTTATAGGTGAGATGTGGTTATAGGTGAGATGTGGTTATAGGTGAGATGTGTTTATAGGTGAGATGTGGTTATAGGGGAGATGTGTTTATAGGCGAGATGTGGTTAAGAGTAACACACCCACCTCTCAGAGGTCCTCTTGAAGTCCTAATGGAAAAGGAGACATCTTACTTGAAAAGCAAACAACAATATCCTTATATTACAACCTCTTTTCATATCATGAACTTGTTCTCTGATGAGTCCGTACCTTGAGGAAGGATACGTCATCGTCAGTGTCCATGGCCTCCACCGTCACCTCGATGGCCTCGGCTAGAGAGTTGATCTGGTCTGTTATTCCGTCTATCCTGTCCCTCATCCTCTGGCTCTTCTCCTCCTCCTCGTCCTTCAGAGCAGAGATCACAGCAGCCTCCTCGTCTCGGAGGTACTGGTGCAGCTTCTCAAACTCCTGCTGCACCAGACGCTCAGTCTGCTGTGCCTGGCTCTGCAGGGGTAAAGGGGGGACGACAGGATGAAGACGGAATGAAAGATGGAGATACAGGAGGGAGGAAGAAGAGATGGAGGTGATATCAGAATCACAATGACTTCATCTCTATCAATACTTTAGCAGCTTATCAGGTGGAATTAGGTGTAGCTCAGGAAATGATATTAATGATAATGTACAGTACTTCTACTAGATCTACTGTCTGATATCAATGATAATGTACTGGATTTACTGTATGATATCAATGATAATGTACTGGATCTACTATATGATATCAATGATAATGTACTGGATCTACTGTATGATATCAATGATAATGTACTTCTACTGGATCTACTGTATGATATCAATGATAATGTACTTCTACTGGATCTACTGTATGATATCAATGATAATGTACTTCTACTGGATCTACTGTATGATATCAATGATAATGTACTGGATCTACTATATGATATCAATGATAATATACTGGATCTACTGTCTGATATCAATGATAATGTACTTCTCTAGATCTACTGTATGATTTCAATGATAATGTACTTCTACTAGATCTGAACTGTTTCAACATCAATCCCAGTTATTGTGCTGTTACCATTTCACAGTCCTGATGTAAGTATATTTGATCAATGGTATGACACACAACAAGTCACACTAAAACCCAGAAATGATCCATGGTTCTGTCTATCGGATGGATCTGATGCCTTTTGACCCCATCTAACCTTGATGTGTTCAGCTGACTCCTCACAGGTCTGTTTGACGGTGTTCAGAGCCTCCAGCTTCTCCTGTAGAGGTCTCAGGGCAGAGGTCAGCTCCCTCTGGGGTCAGAGTTCAGGGGTAAGTCAACATACACATACAGTATGGGTGACAGTGATCAACCAAAGGCATACAAAATACAGGTGTCTCCATACTACTTGTTCAGGGTTTCTAACATCCACATCAGATCAGTTGTACTGTAGGGGAGAGTGGGGTAAGTTGAGCCACCCTTGTTTCTGGGAAATCATACAAAAATCGTAGTGGTCATAATTTCATGGAGTCTGTGAAGGTAGAAACCACAAGGAAAAAATGGTAAAAAAGTTAGGTCCAAAAAATTTCACCAAGTCAATTTCAGTTATTCTGTTAGAGGTTTCATATGCTTGTATCTAAACCAAAGTAGATAATTTAAAGATTGTTCTATACATCAGTTGGGGTGTCTGTAAGCTTCAATATGAGCTCCTAAACCTAGCATGAAAGTGCATCCGTGTAGCTGTGTGGGCTAATAAATAATAATAATAATATGCCATTTAGCAGACGCTTTTATCCAAAGCGACTTACAGTCATGCGTGCATATATTTTTTTTTTGTGTATGGGTGGTCCCGGGAATCGAACCCACTACATTAGCGTTACAAGCGCTGTGCTCTACCAGCTGAGCTACAGAGGACCATGTAGTCAAAATATTTGAGCCAATGGTAAGTTGAGCAAATTGAAGTGTTTTCTTCCCAGGCGTAATGCAAGTCATTATCGCTGGGATATGAGGTAACAACAGGGCCTGGCCCATGTTAACAAAGTGTTTGTAAGGTGTTAAGCCTCTGTTCAAAGATGCTTAAAATAAAATGATTTGTTAGAAAAAACATTTGACATGCTTTTAAAAAAGGTAGTGGTAATATTTCATTCAGTACAGAAATTTGTTGGCGGCTTAATTACCCTGTCCCACAGCTCAACTCACCCCATACCCGGGCTTAACTTACCCTGTCCCACAGCTCAACTCACCCCATACCCGGGCTTAACTTACCCTGTCCCACAGCTCAACTCACCCCATACCCGGGCTTAACTTACCCTGTCCCACAGCTCAACTCACCCCATACCCGGGCTTAACTTACCCTGTCCCACAGCTCAACTCACCCCATACCCGGGCTTAACTTACCCTGTCCCACAGCTCAACTCACCCCATACCCGGGCTTAACTTACCCTGTCCCACAGCTCAACTCACCCCATACCCGGGCTTAACTTACCCTGTCCCACAGCTCAACTCACCCCATACCCGGGCTTAACTTACCCTGTCCCACAGCTCAACTCACCCCATACCCGGGCTTAACTTACCCTGTCCCACAGCTCAACTCACCCCATACCCGGGCTTAACTTACCCTGTCCCACAGCTCAACTCACCCCATACCCGGGCTTAACTTACCCTGTCCCACAGCTCAACTCACCCCATACCCGGGCTTAACTTACCCTGTCCCACAGCTCAACTCACCCCATACCCGGGCTTAACTTACCCTGTCCCACAGCTCAACTCACCCCATACCCGGGCTTAACTTACCCTGTCCCACAGCTCAACTCACCCCATACCCGGGCTTAACTTACCCTGTCCCACAGCTCAACTCACCCCATACCCGGGCTTAACTTACCCTGTCCCACAGCTCAACTCACCCCATACCCGGGCTTAACTTACCCTGTCCCACAGCTCAACTCACCCCATACCCGGGCTTAACTTACCCTGTCCCACAGCTCAACTCACCCCATACCCGGGCTTAACTTACCCTGTCCCACAGCTCAACTCACCCCATACCCAGGCTTAACTTACCCTGTCCCACAGCTCAACTCACCCCATACCCGGGCTTAACTTACCCTGTCCCACAGCTCAACTCACCCCATACCCGGGCTTAACTTACCCTGTCCCACAGCTCAACTCACCCCATACCCGGGGTAAGGTGTGCCAAGAGACCACTTTTTTTGGGGGGACAAGCTATATTTTCAAAACTGTAATGTTTACATTAATTCTGATTATTTCCAGGGATGCACACAATCTTGAAATATACGTTGATATCTTTGTTAGGAAGAATATTATATTTATCTTGACAGAGTGATGCTGAATGTAAAAACACGGCTCCACTTACCCCACTCTCCCCTATGTCTATCACCTTCCATTCCATGGCTGCAGTACAAGTAGTTAGTCGGAGTAGTAAAGTGCTTATCAGAGTCCAAAAACTTGTGTTCTAAGAATATTGGACTGTTGGCTTTCATACTTTTGGAATTCTCAGAGTGGCTCATGCGATTTGTCCAACCGTCACCACATTCAAATGAATAGGAGCCGCGTACATGGAGCCGCGTTGGTTGGGAGTGTTGGGAAGGTGTGCAGCTGGTCTATACTTCCCCGAGGACCAGTTGTAGCTATGTCACAATTTGGCCGCTGGACTATCGCAGCTCTGCGTTTGTGGACTCTGAATTCTGCTTTCGTCTCTGAGTATATCTGTGTAGGAAGTCAGTCACAACACTCTCACCTTGCAGTCGTGCGCGGCCTCCTCCGCGGGACAACACTCGTGGTCGTCGTGCTCCTCGCTCTGACACTCCACACACACCATCTCCTCGTCCTCCACACAAAACAACGTCAGCCTCTCCCCGTGTAGTGGACACAGCACCCCGCTCCCATCCTCTAACCCTCCATCTCTGGCCCGCCGCGGTTGCCCTTGGAACAGGGAGTCCAGCAGTCTCTTCAGGACACAGTCCAGCAGGTCTCTGCCGTAGCAGACCGTACAGCCACCCTGGCCCAGCTCACCCTCACACAGCCCCAGGCAGGCTTCACACAGGCTGTGACCACACGGCAGGACCAGGGGCCCTGAGCCCTGACAGCCCGGGCACACAGCCTCTTCCCTGGGGAGAGAGGACTCATCACCCCCCTGCTGCTCAGACGCCATGGAAACAGATTGATCACTTCTTGATCACTCTGGATCACACTGGATCTCTTGATCACTGGATCTTTGATAGGTGCCTCTCGCTACAGTATTATCGTCTGGTGTTCTGCTACTCTCTGCAGCCGCTTGCTTAATGTTTAATGCGTAGCAATGATTACACAATCACTGGTGCTGTTTGGCCACAACAGGAAACCCTTCTGGTGACTATTAATAGTTCGGTGTTACTGTTTTTAGACAGATGGACGGACAGCTCTCTATGGCTACTGTCAGAAACCCGACCCTTAAACGGAAATGTCAAAATGTTTCAACTTCGTATTCATCATCTCCAGCACCACCCCAACATCAACATCTGAAAATTGAGTGTTTCTATGTTTTGTAGTAAAGAAGATATAGGAAGATAAGTGCATTCTGAAAGTATTCAGAAACCTTGATTTTTTTCCACATTTTGTTACGTTACAGCCTTATTCCACAATGGATTAAATAACAAAATGTCTTCATCAATCTACACACAGTACCCCATAATGACAAAGCGAAAATAGGTTTTTAGACATTTTTGCAAATGTATTAAAAATAAAAAACAGAAATACCTTATTTACATAAGTCTTCAGACCCTTTGCTATGAGAATCGAAATTGAGCTCAGGTGCATCCTGTTTCCATTGATCATCCTTGAGATGTTTCTACAACTTGATTGGAGTCCACCTGTCGTAAATTCAATTGAATGGACATGATTTGGAAAGGCAAACACCTTTCTATATAAGGTCCCACAGTTGACAGTGCGTGTCAGAGCAAAAACCAAGCCATGAGGTCGAAGGAATTTTCCGTAGATCTCCGAGACATGATTGTGTTGAGGCACAGATCTGGGGAAGGGTACCAAAACATTCCTGCAGCAATGAAGGTCCCCAAGAATACAGTGGCCTCCATCATTCTTAAATGTAAGAAGTTTGGAACCACCAAGACTCTTCCTAGAGCTGGCAGCACGACCAAACTGAGCAATCAGTGGAGAAGGGCCTTGGTCAGGGAGGTGACCAAGAACCCAATGGTCACTCTGACAAAGCTCCAGACTTCCTCTGTGGAGATGGGAGAACCTACCAGAAGGACAACCATCTCTGCAGCACTCCACCAATCAGGCCTTTATGGTAGAGTGGCCAGACGGAAGCCTCTCCTCAGTAAAAGCCACATGACAGCCTGCTTGGAGTTTGCCAAAAGGCACCTAAAGACTCTCAGACCATGAGAAACAAGATTCTCTGGTCTGATGAAACCAAGATTTAACTCTCTGGACCACTCCTACAGTGAAGCATGGTTGTGGCAGCATCATGCTGTGGGGATGTTTTTCAGCGGCAGGGACTGGGAGACTAGTCAGGATCGAAAACCTGCTCCAGAGCGCTCAGGACCTCAGACTGGGGCGAAGGTTCACCTTCCAACAGGACAACGACCCTAAACACACAGCCAAGACAACGCAGGAGTGGCTTCGGGACAAGTCTCTGAATGTCCTTGAGTGGCCCAGTCAGAGCCCGGACTTGAACCCGATCGAACATCTCTGGAGAGACCTGAAAATAGCAGCGACGCTCCCCATCCAACCTGACAGAGCTTGAGAGGATCTGCAGAGAAGAATGGGAGAAACTCCCCAAATACAGGTGTGCCAAGCTTGTAGTGTCATACCCAAGATGATTTGAGGCTGTAATCGCTGCCAAAGGTGCTTCAACAAAGTACTGAGTAAAGGGTCTGAATACTTATGTAAATGTATTATTCATTTATAATTTTTTTGCAAACATTTTGCTTTGTCATTATGGGGAATTGTGTGGCGATTGATGAGGGATTTTTTTTGTTTTTTTATCCATTTTAGAATAAGGCTGTAACGAAACAAAATGTGGAAAAAGTCAAGGGGTCTGAATACTTTCCGAATGCACTGTAAGTATTTCCAATGGCATCATCAACCAATTGGTAGGCAATTAGTAAGCAATGCCTACTCATAATTGGTTAGAATCACATGATGCACACTGATGATGTCATTGGAAACACTTGCCTCCTTTATCTTCTTTACTACGAAACATACAAACGCTCTATTCTGTGTTGGGGTGGTGCTGGAGATGATGAATATGTAGTTGAAACATTTTAGAAATGTCCCTTTAAGTCAGAACATTGTGAGAGGAATCCCAGATGTCTAGAGAGATGACTCTAAGGCAATATCTGCAAATGTGTTGATGACAGAAGAATGTTTGGGTTGAGATATGTGCTCTGCAACAAATTTCTACCCAAGCTGTCCCTGGTAAACTGCCATTGACACTGAATCTGAATCATATAACACTGGAAAACACCTGCTATATTCACCAGCTTATTCAAGGAGGGAAATCTCTTATTCAAAAAGAGTAAAGACAGTTCAGAGCAGAGGCTTCTGGTCACGTGCTAGCACAGCACTCATCAAGGCTATGTTTATTGAATTCTCAAAAGAACAATGCAAAAAATAGCTTACAAAAATCGCATTAACAATTCTGATAAAAAGGTGTACTTAATGAATTTGTGTTCACATACATTCAGTAGGCCTACCTACATTCACTGTTATATATTTATTTATGTTTCAATACATGCTTCAAATGACGTACTCTTGAGTATACCAAACATTAGGAACACCTTCCAGATATTGAGTCGCTCACCACCTTTTGCTCTCAGAACAGCCTCAGATTGTCGGGTCATGGACTCTACAAGGTGTCGAAAGCGTTCTACATTTTAGTCACTTATTAGACTCTCTTATCCAGAGCGACTTACCTTAGCAAGTGCCTTGCTCAAGGGCACATCGACAAATGTTTCACCTAGTCGGCTAGGGGATTCAAACCAGTGACCTTTCAGTTACTGGCCCAAGGCTCTTAAGCGCTTGGGCTACCTGCCGCCCCACACAGTTGTGTCAAGTTGGCTGGATGTCCTTTGGGTGGTGGTCCATTCTTGATACACGCGGGAAACTGTTGAGCATGAAAAACCCAGCTCCGTTACATTTCTTGACACAAACCGGTGCGCCTGCCACAGCGCAGGCGTTATGGGCGGGACCTAGGGGGGCTGGACCGCCCTACCTTGCCCGTCCAAATAAAATATTGAAATATTGATCATTTATTTGACCAAGACGCTCGCCGACAGAAAGACGCATCAATCTCAGATAAAGCACTCGACCGAGCGAAACAGCACCCCTCTGTCTCCGTATGTGTAGACCATGTATCTGATGCTGTCTGGACAAAAGGAGTATGGCATGTCATACTTTTTCTGGCCAGACAGCAGCAGATACATGGTCCACACCTAAGGAAACAGAGGGGCGCTGTTTCGTTGGCTAGTTTTAGCAGAGAGGAAGAGTCAACGCTAGAGGGCTCACTCTCGCCAGAATCTGTCCCGAATAAGCCCAATGCGTTTCTATGGGCATGATATGCAGAGCTAAGCTTGTCGCCTGCATTCCCGGCTTTGGTACGAATTACATTATTACGGTGGAGACATGAGCATCTCGTCATCATATACAGATCTCTGGTTTTAGCCACTTGTGAATTAGAAATGAAAGTTAGCTGGTGCACTATTCAGATGCTGGCTTCCCATAAAGCAATTTATGTTTTGCCAAAATTATATAATTACTCCTGTCTAAATAAAATAATTCAAAATACTTTACCAGAGAGCTTGACTTAGCCACAGAGGATCATTAGCTTATTCTTTTATTTTTTTTGCTTTGGATTGTTTCATATCAGAAGAGCATAGGCCTATTCCTATCCGGGAAGCCAGCAGTTTGGTCAGCGCGCGTGGCAATAGGCCTGATTACTGAGTTGCGGCTGTCAGTGAAAAGCATCTACATTGTGTGAAGATAATATGTTTTGAGTATAATTTAAAATGTTGAGACAATAAGAAGGGGAGGGGTGTGTGTGTGTGGCGAATATATGGGCGTCTCTCTCCAGAATGCATGCACTCAGCTCTCCAGAATGTGCTCTGCTGTCTCCCGGCAATTCTTGCACATTCATTGTTTCATTGTGTGAATTGTTTGCCCTTCGATTGTTTATTTTTGTTCAATTCTCCATTGTATATGTAACCAGTAGGCATAGTAAATGTCCCGTTAGTCCTCGTCATTTGGTTACATTCATTTCTGTTAATGCACGTATTACAGTCATTTACCGTTGTCGTATTAAAAAGTCATTTACCGTTGTCGTATTACCGTCATTTACCGTTGTCGTATTAAAGTCATTTACCGTTGTCGTATTAAAGTCATTTACCGTTGTCGTATTCCGGTCATTTACCGTTGTCGTATTACAGTCATTTACCGTTGTCGTATTACCGTCATTTACCGTTGTCGTATTAAAGTCATTTACCGTTGTGGTATTAAAAAGTCATTTACCGTTGTCGTATTACCATCATTTACCGTTGTCGTATTAAAGTCATTTACCGTTGTCGTATTAAAGTCATTTACCGTTGTCGTATTAAAAAGTCATTTACCGTTGTCGTATTACCGTCATTTACCGTTGTCGTATTAAAGTCATTTACCGTTGTCGTATTAAAGTCATTTACCGTTGTCGTATTACCGTCATTTACCGTTGTCGTATTAAAGTCATTTACCGTTGTCGTATTAAAGTCATTTACCGTTGTCGTATTCCGGTCATTTACCGTTGTCGTATTACAGTCATTTACCGTTGTCGTATTACCGTCATTTACCGTTGTCGTATTAAAGTCATTTACCGTTGTGGTATTCCGGTCATTTACCGTTGTCGTATTAAAGTCATTTACCGTTGTCATTCTGAGTGGAAACGTTGTTTGCAGAGTTCACAACCTGCTACACTTGTGAGAAACAAGTTGGTTTATTTCATAACCATTATTTATAAGTTTGGTAAATGTTTTCATTGTCTTTTGTTTGGCGTGCTCCATCTGAGCAATGAGCATGGGTTTGGTTTCTCTGTCGCCTGATAACGTTGAGGGAGCTGGCACGCCTGAGCACGCCAACCTGCTGAGTTGATACAATGTTGCACTTCACTAGTCATACATAGCTCAAGTCAAGACGGGTAGAGAGATAAATGAGATTGAAAGAACCTGAATTTTCATCAGGATATTTTACTGTATTTATTTTTCGGCTTTAGGCCTATGTATTTTACTTAGGTGATGATGGAATGTATAGTCCTATAGGCTATCGCTGAGTTCCATGCGCTAATTTCTTTAGTCACCAATGGATCACGGTGTATCAATGTGGCCATATGGCAAAGGCTGGTGCTCTTGCATTAGTTGAATTTTAACTTTTAGAGTTTTATCATTTTAATTCAGACTTTTTTTTTGATTAACAAGATGACAATAATTTTGAGAAACGAAAACGTTATTATTGAAATTAAAATGTTCCATGAAAACGTGCATATTAAAATAATCATAACTGGGAAGCAGATAGGTAGAAGTGGTAGGATAAATTGTAAGCTTCCCCAAACTTGAAACTCACGAGTTGCCTAGGGTGTTTATTATAACAACCATTAAAAGGTCCTGTGAAAAAAATGGGCCCGCCTATAGAAATCAAATACCTGTTCATCTGATTCGTTCTGGCCGTTGTCGTATTACCCTGGCCTGGCACCTACTACCATACTCCTTTCAAATGCATTTACATTTGCTGTCTTGCCTATTCACCCTCTGAATGGCACACGTACTCAATCTTATGTCTCAATTGTCTCAAGGCTTAAAAATCCTTATTTAACCTGTCTCCTCCCCTTCATCTACACTGATTGAAGTGGATTTAACAAGTGACATCAATAAGGGATCATAGCTTTCACCTGGATTCACCTGGTCAGTCTATGTCACGGAAAGAGCTGGTGTTCTTAATGTTTTGTATACTCAGTGTATGTTTATACAGTAAAAGCATAAAAGCAGTTTCTCTATGACTGATCCATAGAGGAAAGAAGGAAGTCAGGGGTCAGGGGTCAGGGGTCAGGGGTCAGGGGTTAGTCCTGGGGGTGTCTAGGGTCTCCAGCATCAGCCACAGCCCCCCCTCGGCCCTGAGCACCAGCTGGGGCAGCCTCCTCACCTCCACCCCCCCAGGGGTCAGGGGTCAGGGGTCAGTCCTGGGGGGTGTCTAGGGTCTCCAGCATCAGCCACAGCCCCCCCTCGGCCCTGAGCACCAGCTGGGGCAGCCTCCTCACCTCCACCCCCCCAGGGGTCAAGCGGAACCTCCTCAAGGTCAGCGCCACCACCACACGCAGCTCCGCCATGGCAAACTTCTGACCTATACAGTTCCTATAGCACAGAATGATCGGGATGGTTAATGCTGTTTCACCGAGTATCATCACAGACTGGTTCCCAGATCCGTTTGCACTGTCATGTCAGCACAAACGGATCAGGGACCAGGTTGTAAACATTGGGCTATGTCACGCCTGGGCTGTGATGATCATGTGTAGAATGATCATACAAAGAGAATCCAAACCTAGGTCCGAAAGAGAAGAGTATAAGCATGGGTATGCGCCTTGAGCTCAGGGTCAGTGCATGGTTTTTATGTTGAACTAAAGGAAGTAATGCAGGGGAAATGTTCAACTAGTTAGCCTTCGCACAATGAAAGCAGACAGAAAGAATCTTTGATGTGTAGATGTGTAGATAGGTGTAAAGTTAGTAGCCAATCAGGTTGATGTTTACATCCGTAGATGCTAGACAGACAGATGCTGAATGAATAGGAAAGGAGATACAGTGTAATTAGCAGCGAATCGATGGGATGTCTTTAATCAGACTGCTATGCATTGGTTGAATAGTCAAGGAGGTAGAGTAGTCTAGAGATGCAGGTGGAGTAGTCAGAGCAGGTAGAGTATGTCAGAAGCAGGTAGAAGATAGTCAGAGCAGGTAGTAGTAGTCAGAGCAGGTAGTAGTGTCAGAGCAGGTGGAGTAGTCAGAGAGGTAGAGTAGTCAGAGAAGGTAGAGTAGTCAGAGCAGGTGGAGTAGTCAGAGCAGGTAGAGTAGTCAGAGCAGGTGGAGTAGTCAGAGCAGGTGGAGTAGTCAGAGCAGGTGGAGTAGTCAGAGCAGGTAGAGTAGTCAGAGCAGGTAGAGTAGTCAGAGAAGGTAGAGTAGTCAGAGCAGGTAGAGTAGTCAGAGCAGGTAGATTAGTCAGAGCAGGTGGAGTAGTCAGAGCAGGTAGAGTAGTCAGAGCAGGTAGAGTAGTCAGAGCAGGTAGAGTAGTCAGAGCAGGTAGAGTAGTCAGAGCAGGTGTTTGGTGGTTGCAGCTCTGTTCCACCCTTTTATGTTAATGTTTTTATATATGCAAATATATTCAAATACACCCTGTGGTATGACCCGTCCCCCTCCCCTCACTCTGTGGTATGACCCGTCCCCCTGCCCTCACCCTGTGGTATGACCCGTCCCCCTCCCCTCACTCTGTGGTATGACCCGTCCCCCTCCCCTCACCCTGTGGTATGACCCGTCCCCCTGCCCTCACCCTGTGGTATGACCCGTCCCCCTCCCCTCACTCTGTGGTATGACCCGTCCCCCTCCCCTCACCCTGTGGTATGACCCGTCCCCCTGTCCTCACCCTGTGGTATGACCCGTCCCCCTCCCCTCACCCTGTGGTATGACCCGTCCCCCTCCCCTCACCCTGTGGTATGACCCGTCCCCCTGTCCTCACCCTGTGGTATGACCCGTCCCCCTGTCCTCACCCTGTGGTATGACCCGTCCCCCTCCCCTCACCCTGTGGTATGACCCGTCCCCCTGCCCTCACCCTGTGGTATGACCCGTCCCCCTCCCCTCACCCTGTGGTATGACCCGTCCCCCTCCCCTCACCCTGTGGTATGACCCGTCCCCCTGTCCTCACCCTGTGGTATGACCCGTCCCCCTGTCCTCACCCTGTGGTATGACCCGTCCCCCTCCCCTTACTCTGTGGTATGACCCGCCCCCCTCCCCTCACCCTGTGGTATGACCCGTCCCCCTCCCCTCACCCTGTGGTATGACCCGCCCCCCTCCCCTCACCCTGTGGTATGACCCGTCCCCCTGTCCTCACCCTGTGGTATGACCCGTCCCCCTGTCCTCACCCTGTGGTATGACACGTCCCCCTCCCCTCACCCTGTGGTATGACCCATCCCCCTGTCCTCACCCTGTGGTATGACCCGTCCCCCTGGCACCGTCATGTCCTGAGTGTATTGTCTGGTGACAGCAGACACAGGGGAGTGCAGTCTCAGAGACTCTTTGATACACATGGTGGTGAAGGGGAGGCTGCTCAGGTCCTCCCTGCAGAAACACAACACACCAGTCACTCTTTTATGGATAATTCACACATACAGAAAGGACTGGTCTGTTTGGGAGTCTTGGCATACAGAGATCCCAGACTCCGCTCCTTGTTTCATCTCCTGGAAAGAACTAGACAGATGAGAACACATTCCTACCATGTTGAAATGAAGAGAACTTTACATTACTACAAATGTGCCCCATTTGAGAAAAGCCTGTGGTATGACCCGTCCCCCTCCCCTCACCCTGTGGTATGACCCGTCCACCTCCCCTCACCCTGTGGTATGACCTGTCCCCCTGCCCTCACCCTGTGGTATGACCCGCCCCCCTCCCCTCACCCTGTGGTATGACCCGTCCACCTCCCCTCACCCTGTGGTATGACCCGTCCCCCTCCCCTCACCCTGTGGTATGACCAGTCCCTCTGCCCTCACCCTGTGGTATGACCCGTCCACCTCCCCTCACCCTGTGGTATGACCTGTCCCCCTGCCCTCACCCTGTGGTATGACCCGTCCCCATGCCCTCACCCTGTGGTATGACCCGTCCACCTCCCCTCACCCTGTGGTATGACCCGTCCACCTCCCCTCACCCTGTGGTATGACCTGTCCCCCTGCCCTCACCCTGTGGTATGACCCGCCCCCCTCCCCTCACCCTGTGGTATGACCCGTCCACCTCCCCTCACCCTGTGGTATGACCCGTCCCCCTCCCCTCACCCTGTGGTATGACCCGTCCCCATGCCCTCACCCTGTGGTATGACCCGCCCCCCTGACAGAAAGAAAGACAGACAGGCAAGCAGTTGGACAGACAGACGAACAGATGGACAGACGGACATACAGACAGACAGAGACAGACAGACACAGGATCTGACCAGTCTATGTCCTCTGTCTGTCGGTCCTGTAGCAGGTTGTGGACCTCGGCTCTACAGCGGTCCTGGTAGTCCTGATGCTGAGACAAGTTATACAGAACCCAGCTGATCCCGCTGGCCGTGGTGTCATGACCTGAGAGAGAATAAAGTCTCAAATACAGTAGTTTATGATAGGATATACTGCCAGGGTAAATACAGTAGTTTATGACAGGATATACTGCCAGGGTAAATACAGTAGTTTATGACAGGATATACTGCCAGGGTAAATACAGTAGTTTATGATAGGATATACTGCCAGGGTAAATACAGTAGTTTATGATAGGATATACTGCCAGGGTAAATACAGTAGTTTATGACAGGATATACTGCCAGGGTAAATACAGTAGTTTCTGATAGGATATACTGCCAGGGTAAATACAGTAGTTTCTGATAGGATATACTGCCAGGGTAAATACAGTAGTTTCTGATAGGATATACTGTCAGGGTAACTGTAGAAAGGGATAGAGTGGACCTAACCCCTTGAGGATCACCTCCAAACATGAAAGTGTCTGCCTCTGCTTTTATCTCCTCATTTGTGAGACCACGGCCCTCCTCATCCTTTGACAGCAGTAACAAATCAATGAAGTCTGCTACTCTCTTTCTCTTCTCCTCCCCTCCTGTGGTGTCAGCCTGGCTCTCTGGCTCCCCCTGGAGGAGAAGCTGTGCTCTGCGCTCCTGGACCACAGTGCTGGTGAACCTGTGTATAGGGTTGTACAATTCCAGTTACTTTCTGAAAATTCCCAAGTGTTCCAGAAATACTGGTTGGAGGATTCCTGGATTTCCAGCTTCCGGGAATTTTCCAACCAGAATTTCAGGAAAACCTTGGAATTTCAGGAACATTTCCAGAATTTTGCCAACTCCTACCTGTGTACTACACTACAGGCCTGTTTGAAGCGTTGTCCTTCTGGGGACCTCCAGTACAGCCAGTCCCAGTGGTGCAGGATACGACCTCTCCGCTCGATCACCAGGGTGCTCAGCTCAAAGATGGCTGCTATGTAGTCACTGGAACTCCTGGAGGAAAGGAAAGGAGCCATGAGACAGAGTTGGATAGAGGAGGGAGGGTAGAGGGGAGTATGGAGACATTAGAGTTGGATAGAGGAGGGAGGGTAGAGGGGAGTATGGAGACATTAGAGTTGGATAGAGGAGGGAGGGTAGAGGGGAGTAATGAGACATTAGAGTTGGATAGAGGAGGGAGGGTAGAGGGGAGTAATGAGACATTAGAGTTGGATAGAGGAGGGAGGGTAGAGGGGAGTAATGAGACATTAGAGTTGGATAGAGGAGGGAGGGTAGAGGGGAGTAATGAGACATTAGAGTTGGATAGAGGAGGGAGGGTAGAGGGGAGTAATGAGACATTAGAGTTGGATAGAGGAGGGAGGGTAGAGGGGAGTAATGAGACATTAGAGTTGGATAGAGGAGGGAGGGTAGAGGGGAGTAATGAGACATTAGAGTTGGATAGAGGAGGGAGGGTAGAGGGGAGTAATGAGACATTAGAGTTGGATAGAGGAGGGAGGGTAGAGTACAGTGAAAGAGGTGATTTGCTTATCTGATGTACTAAACAGTTGTATTTCCGGATTAGCGCTATAAACCAATTCGATTAAACAAATGAATATGCCCTGCTAAGAGAGACTGGTCCAAAATGCTGCAACATACAACACACAACAGATGGAAAGAATCTGTCCTTGAGGTCACTTCTGGTCGTCCTTCCACAATACAGTAGATATCACTGATATTATAGCCTGTATGGCTACTCTGATCTTATAGAATATACGTGTAGTGAGATGGGCTCTTGCCTCAGTCAGTATCAGAGGTAGAAGGTTACTGGGTTCTTGCCTCAGTCAGTATCAGAGGTAGAAGGTTACTTGGCTCTTGCCTCAGTCAGTATCAGAGGTAGAAGGTTACTGGGCTCTTGCCTCAGTCAGTATCAGAGGTAGAAGGTTACTTGGCTCTTGCCTCAGTCAGAATCAGAGGTAGAAGGTTACTGGGCTCTTGCCTCAGTCAGAATCAGAGGTAGAAGGTTACTGGGCTCTTGCCTCAGTCAGTATCAGAGGTAGAAGGTTACTGGGCTCTTGCCTCAGTCAGTATCAGAGGTAGAAGGTTACTGGGCTCTTGCCTCAGTCAGTATCGGAGGTAGAAGGTTACTGGGCTCTTGCCTCAGTCAGTATCGGAGGTAGAAGGTTACTGGGCTCTTGTCTCAGTCAGTATCAGAGGTAGAAGGTTACTGGGCTCTTGTCTCAGTCAGAATCAGAGGTAGAAGGTTACTCACTGCTTCTGTATCAGTCATATTAAAGATAGGTTACTCACTGCTTCTGTATCAGTCATATTAAAGACAGGTTACTCACTGCTTCTGTATCAGTCATATTAAAGACAGGTTACTCACTCCTGGCAGTTGCTGTTGTAGCTGAAGGTACATCTGAGCAGACTGTCCAGAGTCATCAGGCTGATGTGACTGAACATGTCCTGGCAGCTCTTTCCCTCGGCCACCAGGCGGCGCCACTTAGACTGACACCAACAAGCAGGGGAGAGACCATGGAGTTAGTTAGAGGAATCATCTTTGTATCTGTCCCATTATGGTGTCTGTGACAGCACGGGCAGCGTCACCGAGGCTGTCTCCATTTTGAAGTAGTCCATTTTCTTGTTTTGTGTTTGAAAAAAAGCATAAAGCTAATATTGGTGATTTACAGACACCTGCAGCGCCGGAGTCCTGAATCATATCTCGTGTCATTCATTTATTGTGGCCACTAGATAGCATGTGATATAGTTTAAAGCCATTTGCAAACAATGCAACAAGGAGACAATGCTCTGATATTTGGCTGATCACTCCCCAACCCATAGGAATTCCCACCAAGTTGACTCCTTTCAAATGGTGGAAGCCCTCGACGGCAGTGTACACGCTAAAACGGGTTCTATCCATGATGAGTCCTCCAACTAACTCTCTGGGATACATTGTGTGTTGCCTCCTTCACCACACTACCTCTTACATTCTCACACCAGGGGAGGCTGGCGGGAGGAGCTATAGGAGGACGGGCTCATTGTAATACCTGGAATGGAATAGATTTAGCTCCCTCCCACCAGCCTCCTCTGTCTGACACATGCTGCATCCAATGAACAAGTTTCAAAACAATCATTTGCATTCACAAATAAAAAGAGTGACGAGGAGACGAGACGAGCGAAAAACTCATTGCAAAGTGTTGGACGTGTAAACGTCCCCTAAATGTCCCTTTTTTTTGTAACTGTGTCAAAACTTGTTTACATTAGACAGAGAGCCGATAAGCTTGACAAGACAGATGGAGCGGGAGATGAGAACTACTCACAAGCTATTTGTAAGCTATTTGCTTACTTCACTACATCATTCTAACTGCTCGTTTAGCGCATACATAATTACTATCAACAACGTCTATTTGCATGTGCTGGCGAGTGCAACTAAACTAGACTAGGACTATTAAAAGGATATGTCTTCGAATATCTAGTATTTTATATACAGTGCCCTCTGTAATTATTGGGACAGTGAAGCATCTTTTCTTCGTTGGCTCTATACTTCAAAACTTTGCATTTGAAATCAAACAGTGACCGTGAGGTTAAAAGTGCAGACTGTCAGCTATAATTTGAGTGTATTTTCATCCATATCGGGTGAACCATTTAGAAATTACAGCGGTTTTTGTACATAGTCCTCCCATTGTAGGGGAGCAAAAGTATTGGGACTAATTCCCTTATATGTGTATTAAAGTAGTAAAAAGTGTAGTATTTGGTCCCATATTCATAGCACGCAATGACTACATCAAGCTTGTGACTCTACACTTTTTTAAAAACAATTTATTTTGGTTGTGTTTCGGATTATCTTGTGCCCAATAGAAATGAATGGTAAATAATGTATTGTGTCATTTTGGGGTCACTTTTATTGTAAATAAGAATAGAACATGTTTCTAAACACTTCTACATGAATGTGGATGCTACCATGATGATGGATAATTAAGCAATAAGCCTGAGGGGGTGTTGTATATGACCAATATACCACGGCTAAGGACTGTATCCAGGCACTCCGCGTTGCGCCGTGTGTAAGAACAGCCCTTAGCCGTGGTATATTGGCCATATACCACAAACCCCTGAGGAGCCTTATTGCTATTATAAACTGGTTACCAACGTAATTAGAGCAGTAAAACTAAATGTATTGTCATACCCGTGGTATACGATCTGATATACCATGGCTTTTAGCCAATCAGAATTCATAGCTCAAACCAACCAGTTTATAATCCTGAATTAATCATGAATATTGATCAGTGAGAAAGTTACAGACGCACAAATATCATACCCATAGTCCCTGTGCCCAAGAAAGCGAAGGTAACCTGCTTAAATGACGTATCACCTGGACAAAAGGAACACCTATGAGAATGCTCTTCATTGACTACAGCTCAGCGTTCAACACCATAGTGCCCACAAAGCTCATCACTAAGCTCAGGACCCTGGGACTAAACACCTCCCTCTGCAACTGGATCCTGGACTTCCTGACGGGCCGCCCCCAGGTGGTAAGGGTAGGCAACAACACATCTGCCACACTGATCCTCAACACGGGGGCCCCTCAGGGATGCATGGTTAGTCCCCTCCTGTACTCTCTGCTCACCCAAGACTGCGTGGCCAAGCACGACTCCAACACCCTCATTAAGTTTGCCTGACGACACAACGGTGGTAGGCCTGATCACCGACAACGATGAGACAGCCTATAGGGAGGAGGTCAGAGACCTGGCAGTGTGGTGACAGGACAACAACCTCTCCCTCAACATCAGCAAGACAAAGGAGATGATTGTGGACTACAGGAAACGGAGGGCCAAACACGCCCCCATTCACATCGACACAGCAAGCGGTACCGGAGCGCCAAGTCTAGGTCCAAAAGGCTCCTTAACAGCTTCTACCCCCAAGCCATACGACTGCTGAACTATCAATCAAATGGCCACCCAGACTATTTGCATTGTCCCCAAGACATGCTAACCTCTCACCATTACAATAACAGGGGAGGTTAGCATTTTATATCATACCCCCAAGACATGCTAACCTCTCACCATTACAATAACAGGGGAGGTTAGCATTTTATATCATACCCCCAAGATATGCTAACCTCTCACCATTACAATAACAGGGGAGGTTAGCATTTTATATCGTGGTCCTCTGTAGCTCAACTGGTAGAGCACGGCGCTTGTAACGCCAAGGTAGTGGGTTCGATCCCTGGGACCACCCATACACAAAAATGTATGCACGCATGACTGTAAGTCGCTTTGGATAAAAGCGTCTGCTAAATGGCTTATTATTATATTATTATTATTATTATATCATACCCCCAAGACATGCTAACCTCTCACCATTACAATAACAGGGGAGGTTAGCATTTTTGGGGGGGTACAACTTTCTCACTCATCATTATTCACGATTCATTCAGGATTATCCGTCATCATGGTAGTATCCACATTCATGTAGAATTGTTTTTATTTACAATAAAAGTGACACCAAAATCACACAATACATTATTTACCATTCATTTCTATTAGGTACAAAATAATTTGAAACACAACCAAAACAAACAGCAAATGCATCCAACAAGTGTGTAGAGTCACAAGCTTGATGTAGTCATTGCGTGCTCTGAATATGGGACCAAATACTTAACTCTTGACTACTTTAATACACATATAAGGGAATTAGTCCCAATACTTTTGCTCCCCTAAAATGGGAGGACTATGTTCAAAAAACTGCTGTAATTTCTAAACGGTTCACCCGATATGGATCCAAAGTTTTCAAGTATAGAGCCAAAAGAAGACAAAATGCTTCACTGTCCCAATAATTACGGAGGGCCGTTGAGAACAGAGAAGCTGGTGCAAAAAAAGTTACTTGTACACTATACCACTTGTTTCTCTAACATGTTTCATGTTAAGGGCCAAATGCCTTGAGTTTACTTGAGTGTTGCTCAAATGAACCCACACGATCAGTGCTGTTGCTCCATGGACTCACATGCATGATGTTGGTGGAGTGGTTAAAGGTCTTGACATAGTTCTTGAGGATGTCGAAATGGAAGGCAGGAGTGAGTAGGCGTCTACGACGAGACCAGTCCTCTCCGTTACTCAGGAGAAGACTCTGTCCTGTAGGACAATATTACCGTAGCTGTGACTAGGACAGAGGATCTGAGAGTACTGTATATACTATAGGAAATATTACTGTGACTAGGACAGAGGACCTGAAAGTACTGTATATAGTATAGGAAATATTACTGTGACTAGGACAGAGTATCTGAGAGTACTGTATATACTATAGGAAATATTACTGTGACTAGGACAGAGTATCTGAGAGTACTGTATATACTATAGGAAATATTACTGTGACTAGGACAGAGGACCTGAGAGTACTGTAATAATCCTGGGGACAGTAAATGAAAGGTGTTCATGTTTTGTTCTTACCCAGCCATGGTCTCAGGAACCCATAGAACAGCTCATCTTTGACTGTGATGGAAGCTGCAAGGATGGACGAATGGTGAAGGAAATTCAGAAAAACAGTCGTGGTCAAAAGTTTTGACAATGACACAAATACAACTTTTCACAAAGTCTGCTGTCTCAGTTTTTATGATGGCAATTTGCATATACTCCAGAATGTCATGAAGAGTGATCAGATGAATTGCAATTAATTGCAAAGTCCCTCTTTGCCATGAAAATGAACTTAATCCCCCAAAAACATTTCCACTGCATTTCAGCCCTGCCACAAAAGGACCAGCTGCCATCATGTCAGTGATTCTCTCGTTAACACAGGTGAGAGTGTTGACGAGGACAAGGCTGGAGATCCCTCTGTCATGCTGATTGAGTTAGAATAACAGACTGGAAGCTTTAAAAGGAGGGTGGTGCTTGAAATCATTGTTCTTCCTCTGTTAACCATGGTTACCTGCAAGGAAACACGTGCCATCATCATTGCTTTGCACAAAAAGGGCTTCACAGGCAAGGATATTGCTGCTAGTAAGATTGCACCTAAATCAACCATTTATCGGATCATCAAGAACTTCAAGGAGAGAGGTTCAATTGTTGTGAAGAAGGCTTCAGGGCGCCCAAGAAAGTCCAGCAAGCGCCAGGACCGTCTCCTAAAGTTGATTCAGCTGCGGCATCGGGGCACCACCAGTGCAGAGCTTACTCAGGAATGGCAGCAGGCAGGTGTGAGTGCATTTGCACGTACAGTGAGGCGAAGACTTTGGAGGATGGCCTGGTGTCAAGAAGGCAGCAAAGAAGCCACTTCTCTCCAGGAAAAACATCAGGGACAGACTGATATTCTGCGAAAGGTACCTGTGCCCAAGAAAGTGAAGGTAACCAGCATGATGGAGCACCTTGACATAAGGCAAAAGTGATAACTAAGTGGCTCGGGGAACAAAACATCGACATTTTGGGTCCATGGCCAGGAAACTCCCCAGACCTTAATCCCATTGAGAACTTGTGGTCGATCCTCAAGAGGTGGGTGGACAAACAAAAACCCACAAATTCAGACAAACTCCAAGCATTGATTATGCAAGAATGGGCTGCCATCATTCAGGATGTGGCCCAGAAGTTAATTGACACCATGCCAGGGCGGATTGCAGAGGTCTTGAAAAAGAAGGGTCAACACTGCAAATATTGACTCTTTGCATAAACTTAATGTAATTGTCAATAAAAGCCTTTGACACTTATGGAATGCTTGTAATTATACTTCAGTATACCATAGTAACATCTGAGAAAAATATCTAAAAACACTGAAGCAGCGAACTTTGTGAAGACCAATACTTGTGTCATTCTCAAAACTTTTAACCACGACTGTAGGTCTACTGGCTAAGGAGAAAAGCAGATAGCATGGGCGCGGGAATTACGGGCGCTGGGGGTGCGGCAGCACCACCTGGTGGTGAGATGTTAAAACTACGCAAGGGAGTTATTTTTTTCTACAAGCCTTTTTCTCATGACAAATTAAGGAAACTGTAAACACAAACACACTGGCTAGCTAGCACACTAGAGCGAGTAGCACACTGGACAACCAGATCACATGTCTAGGCCTATCTTCTCTGTCTAAATTGACAAACACTTAAGCCTACTTGAGATGCGAGGTAGCCTACCTTAATTTGCTAAATGAAGGCCTGCAAGCGCCATTTGAGCTGCGACTAGCATTACCGAAACAAGTGTGTTTTTCTCATCAACATCACTGTTCCATCGTTTAATCCCTTTTAGCAGGGTGTAATTTGCTTAACATTGGTCTGTTGAGACATACAGCATGAGAAAGCTAAAATTAGTTTATTTTTAACCATTAGATACCCGCATTTGGCGGATGTTTTATTTTGCCCTGTTTTTGATTTGTGAGCTTAAACTTGATATGATGGGCAGGCTTAAACATGAAACAAACTTCATATGATGGTCAGGCTTAAACATGAAACAAACTTCATATGATGGTCAGGCTTAAACATGAAACAAACTTTATATGATGGGCAGGCTTAAACATGAAACAAACTTTATATGATGGGCAGGCTTAAAAATGAAACAAACTTTATATGATGGGCAGGCTTAAACATGAAACAAACTTCATATGATGGGCAGGCTTAAACATGAAACAAACTTCATATGATGGGCAGGCTTAAACATGAAACAAACTTCATATGATGGGCAGGCTTAAACATGAAACAAAGTAGTTGACTAATGAATACGCTATTTGCCTTCATCAAAACAATGTTTTTGTTGCATATTTTAGTCTGGAGCCTGCTTATGTTTAAGGGGGTTATAACCTATTATAAATGACACACTAGCAGTTAGGGGGGTTATAACCTATTATAAATGACACACTAGGAGTTAGGGGGGGTTATAACCTATTATAAATGACACACTAGCAGTTAGGGGGGTTATAACCTATTATAAATGACACACTAGGAGTTAGGGGGGGTTATAACCTATTATAAATGACACACTAGGAGTTAGGGGGGGTTATAACCTATTCAAAAGGACACACTAGGAGTTAGGGGGGTTATAACCTATTATAAATGTCACACTAGGTGTTAGGGGGGGTTATAACCTATTATAAATGACACACTAGGAGTTAGGGGGGTTATAACCTATTATAAATGACACACTAGGAGTTAGGGGGGTTATAACCTATTATAAATGACACACTAGGAGTTAGGGGGGTTATAACCTATTATAAATGACACACTAGCAGTTAGGGGGGTTATAACCTATTATAAATGACACACTAGGAGTTAGGGGGGGGTTATAACCTATTATAAATGACACACTAGGAGTTAGGGGGGTTATAACCTATTCTAAATGACACACTAGCAGTTAGGGGGGTTATAACCTATTATAAATGACACACTAGCAGTTAGGGGGGTTATAACCTATTATAAATGACACACTAGGAGTTAGGGGGGTTATAACCTATTATAAATGACACACTAGCAGTTAGGGGGGTTATAACCTATTATAAATGACACACTAGGAGTTAGGGGGGTTATAACCTATTATAAATGACACACTAGCAGTTAGGGGGGTTATAACCTATTATAAATGACACACTAGCAGTTAGGGGGGTTATAACCTATTATAAATGACACACTAGCAGTTAGGGGGGTTATAACCTATTTAAATGACACACTAGGAGTTATGGGGGTTATAACCTATTATAAATGACACACTAGCAGTTAGGGGGGTTATAACCTATTCAAAAGAACACACTAGGAGTTAGGGGGGTTATAACCTATTATAAATGACACACTAGCAGTTAGGGGGGTTATAACCTATTATAAATGACACACTAGGAGTTAGGGGGGTTATAACCTATTCTAAATGACACACTAGCAGTTAGGGGGGTTATAACCTATTCTAAATGACACACTAGCAGTTAGGGGGGTTATAACCTATTATAAATGACACACTAGCAGTTAGGGGGGTTATAACCTATTATAAATGACACACTAGGAGTTAGGGGGGTTATAACCTATTATAAATGACACACTAGCAGTTAGGGGGGTTATAACCTATTATAAATGACACACTAGGAGTTAGGGGGGGGGGGGGGGGGGGTTATAACCTATTATAAATGACACACTAGCAGTTAGGGGGGTTATAACCTATTATAAATGACACACTAGCAGTTAGGGGGGTTATAACCTATTATAAATGACACACTAGGAGTTAGGGGGGTTATAACCTATTATAAATGACACACTAGGAGTTAGGGGGGTTAAAACCTATTATAAATGACACACTAGGAGTTAGGGGGGGTTATAACCTATTATAAATGACACACTAGGAGTTAGGGGGGTTAAAACCTATTATAAATGACACACTAGGAGTTAGGGGGGTTAACACCTATTATAAATGACACACTAGGAGTTAGGGGGGGTTATAACCTATTATAAATGACACACTAGCAGTTAGGGGGGTTATAACCTATTATAAATGACACACTAGGAGTTAGGGGGGGTTATAACCTATTATAAATGACACACTAGGAGTTAGGGGGGGTTATAACCTATTATAAATGACACACTAGGAGTTAGGGGGGTTATAACCTATTATAAATGACACACTAGGAGTTAGGGGGGTTATAACCTATTATAGGAGTTCGTAAAAAAAAAAAGCCTAAAATAGACGAGATGCATCTATTATTCCAAAGCTGCAGCTTGTGATTGGAACCCGCATTTCCCTGCTTTAATCAATCAGTCCATTTGGAATTTGTGATAAAGCTGTCTTGATTTGGCGAGGAGTGTAGCTTGTCCTGTTTGTGTATCCCATCAGTTAGATGTATTGTTGTAGGCAGTAATGTCTGTAGAACTAATGGGAGCTTGGGTTCGCAGGACGGTAGTGTGTCAGGGAGCGGTCAGCACCCCCCCCCCCCCCCCCCTACTCAAAACATCTTCCCGCGGCTATGACAGACAGGCTATTAGTCTATGGGCCAGTGGAACAATGTGTCCATTTGGGGTGGCAAAGGTTTGATAGTATGTGGTGTAAATTATTTAATGACCTACTACGACAGGTATTCAATAGGCTCTATGCACGCATCACTTCCGCATTGGCCTAAGGAAGCTTGGGAATTTCCGGTTACCGG